TGTATAGTATCATATCATCTGCAAACAGGGATAGTTTAACTTCTTCATTACCAGTTTGGATGCCCTTTATTTCTTTTTCTTGCCTTATTGCTCGAGCTAGGAATTCCAGCACAATGTTAAATAGGAGTAGAGATAAAGGACATCCTTGTCTTTTTCCTGTTCTCAAGGGGAGTGTTTTCAGCCTCTCTCCATTAAGAATGACGTTGGCTGTTGGTTTTGCATAAATGCCCTGTATGTTGAGAAATTTCCCTTTTATACCTATTTTATTGAGTTTTTTTCATGAATGGGTGTCAGACTTTGTCGAATGCCTTTTCGAGCAGAGAATTTTTAAAACAAAGTGTTTTGCTGAGCAGAAAGGAAGGAGAATGATCCCACCCAGCTGGGGTTGTCAGAGATAGAAAAGCAAAAGAAGTCAGGTGAGAAATGAAAGCATGCATATGGATCATTGGTTATTTTAGAGATACAATGTATTATGTTTTGGTTTAGTTTTCTTTCTTTTGCTTTTTAATCAGCTTTATTGAGGTATAATTTACATATAATAAAATTTACCAGTGTACAGTTCAGTGAGTTTTGACAAATGTATTAAAAAAAAAAAGAACAAACCCATTGCTGTCGAGTCGATTCCAACTCATAGCAACCCTATAGGACAGAGTAGAACTGCCCCATAGAGTTTCCACGGAGCACCTGGTGGACTTGAACTGCTGACTTTTTGGTCAGCAGACGTAGCTCTTAACCACTACACTACCAGGGTTTCTGACAAATGTGTACAGTTGTGTAATAACCACCATAATCAAGAGATGGGACATTTACATTACTCAGAAAATACGCTTGTGTTCCATTGTAGTCACTTCCCTCTCCCCATTCCCTGGAACCATTAATCTTCCTTCTTTCTCTGTAGTTTTGCCTTTTTTAGAATTTCATGTAAATAAAACTGTGCAGTATGTAAGTAGCCTTTTATGTCTGACTTTTTTTCATTTACCATAATGCTTCTGAGATTCATTCATATTGTTGTGTGTATGAATAGCTTTTCCTTTTTTTTCTGAATAATATTCCATTGTATGGATATACCACATTTTATTTATTCATTCATCTGCTGATGGACACTTGGGTTGTTTCTACCTTTTGGCTATTGTGAATAATGCTGCAGTGAACATTGGTGTACAAGTATCTGTTTGAATTTGTTTTTAATTCTTTCGAGTATATACTTAGGAGCAAAATTGCTGGGTAATATGCTAATTGTGCTACATAGGGGTTTCAGTGGCTGATTTTTCAGAAGTAGGTCATCAGGCCTTTCTTCCACTGTGCCTCTGGGTGGACTCAAACCTCTAGCCTTTTGGTTAGCAGCTGAGCGTGTTAACTGTTTACACCACCAAGGGACTCGGAGATAAGGTACAACCATAGTGTTGTTAGATCTGTCTTGGAGTCATGCTGTTGGTCTAAAAGTGCTGTAGAAGTAAAGATGAAGCACACAGGTTTTAAGAAGAGAGCTGTGCCACATGTCACTGTGAGTACATGCATAACTGCCACGGCCAAAAGTGATTCAGAGGAGCCTTTAGATTCACATATGAAGGTTCATATTTAAATGCTAATTGTGATTCTGAAAAAAGAGTATGGTATGGAACTGTGTGGATAAATATACAGTTTTGTTGGTTACTGTAAAAGTATAATGTTTTGGTTGTTTTTTGCTTAACAGTTATTACTAAATCAGTGGTTCATCTTTTCTGGTGTTTTAATAGTGATGAAATAAGATTACAGGATATACTAAACAGAATTAGAGATTGTGGGGTTCCTGATTAGATTTCACTTTGACATGCTTAGGGTCTTGACCAAGTCATATCTCAGTTTTTTGTTGTCTTCATTTTTCCCTTTTTTAAAAAATTATTATTGAGAGTTAATCCACACACCAGAATGTTTACCTTTTTAAAGTATACAGTTCAGTGGTGTTTGGTGTAGTCAGAAGATTGTGCAAGAATCACCACTATCTAATTTCAAAACATTTTCCTCTCCCCAAAGAGAGACCTTGTAACCATTAGCAGTCATTCCCCATTCTCTTCTCCCCTGTAGACCCTGGCAATCACTAATCTACTTTCTGTCTCTATAGATTTGCCTATTCTGGATATTTCATATGAATGGAATCATACAATATGTCATCTTTTGTGTCTGGCTTCTTTCACTTAGGATAGTATTTAAAAAATTCATCCATGTGAACTATAGGGCAGTTCTACTCTGTTCTATAGGGTAGCTATGAGTCAGAATTTGACTCAACGGCAACGGGTTTCGTTTGTTGGTTTGGCTGCTAACCGAAAGGTTGGAGGTTCAGGTCCACCCAGAGGCTCCTTGAGAGAAAGGCCTGGTGATCTACTTCCAGAAAATCAGCCATTGAAAACCCTGTGGAGCACAGTTCTACTCTGACACACATTGGGTCACTATAAATGGGAATCGACGGCAACTGGGTCCTAGAGCAAGTTGTAAGCAGCTGCTGAGGTTTTTTTGTGCTTATCACCTGTCATTGCCATCTGTTGAGTAGAAGTGGCCATTTTATCAAAATGGAGGTTCTGACTTTTGTGGATGTTAGAGGAACTAAAGGAATTAACCCCTTGAGTTTACCCATGTTTTATTTAAAGTTACAATTATTTAAAATCAAAATTAATTAGTTTATTCACTTTTAAATGTAAACCATATAATAGTAGAGAGAATAAAAAACACATTAAAAAAATTCATCCATGTGGTAGCATGAATCAGTACTTCATTCCTTTTTATGGCTGAATAATATTCCGTTGTATAGATACACCACATTTTATTTACCCATTCATCACTTGGTGGACGTTTGGATTGTTTGCTGCTGTGAACATTTGTCTAGAAGTTATCATTTGAATGCCTGTTTTCCATCACACTCATTACCTTTGACATTTAATATAATTTACTTATTTAGTTTATATTTTTGCCCCTCGTGGTTGGTGCTGGATATTGACTGACAGTTGGGCTGTCAGGTGGAATACCTGTGCATGGCTCTGGTCTCAGCAGTCTCACAGTATGATGGCTGGGTTCCAAGAGCAAGCATCCTGAGAGTGAGAGCCAGGTGGAAGCTGTGTTGTCTTTTATTATCTAACCTCAGAAGTCACGTAGTGTCATTTTGCCACATTCTGGTCATTGAGGCAGTCACAGATTAACAGCCCATGTTCAAGTAGAGGGGATTTGACTCCACCTTTTGATGGGAGAAGTGCCAAAGACTTTGCAGACATGTTTTAAAACCACCAAACCTCCCTACAAGTGCCGTGTCCCCTCCAGGTTCTACTTACTTTTGGTCATTCTCTAGTACCTTCAAATAGTAGTTTTTTAATCTAGAGTTTATATTATTATGTGATAGCCCATACAAACTACTCCATCATTACTAGAAGTGGAACCTTCTGCACTCCTCTTTTTTTTCCATCATACTCATTGCACTTGACGTTTAATATTATTTATTTATTTGGTTTATATTTTTGTCTCCTCACACTAAAATGCAAACTCCATTAAGTCAGAGTTTTTTGTCTCTTTGGTAACTGCTATATCCCTAGTGCCTAGAATAACACACTTGGCATATAGTAGGTGCTCAACAAATTGTTGAATGAATGATTAAATCTTCAGTTCTTCAAAACAAACAAACTTCTTGATGACAAAAGAGGAGCTACAATTATAGAACCTTGTTCTTTTAAAATAGTTACACTGGTAGACTGGCATAGCTAAGGTTCACTTTTCCATGACTTAACCGGAGTTCAAGATTCTGATATTTTATTCTTATTATGACTATCATGTGGGTCAATTTAGCAGTGTAGGTAGCCTGGTTACAGATCAGATAAGATAACATGTGAAAGCACTTTGTGAACTGTAAAGTAATACGAAATTATAAGGTATGTAATTATATGCAATTGCATCCATTAGGCTACCTTTTTCAGATTTCATTTTTAGAGTATCTTTGTGTGTATGTTTTTAATGGGTGAGTATTGTGAATTACAGAAATAATAATAAAATGTTTTATAATAAAGTCTTGAAGAAGTTCTTATTAATGTTTTGTCTGACTTCTTTTACAGGAACTTAAGAGATTTCAGAATTTGGTAAATAACCATCCTCCTTTTGATATTGTTATCGATGGACTCAATGTTGCCAAAATGTTTCCTAAAGCTCGAGAATCTCAAGTTGTAAGTACAATTTTTGTTATTCCAAATCTCCAGAAATATTTATTGTTCCCATTTGTGATCCTCCTTGGGACTCGTAGTTTCCCATGTTTTCTTTCTGTAAAATTAAGTTTCTAAAGGTGCCATAGTGACTAACAGCTGATTCAAAATTTGCTCTTTCATCTCTCTGGCTCTTAAAGGCTGGGCAAGAGTGAGAGATGAAAAGAAAGTCTGTGTTTTATAAGGGCTGGTTCAGCCCTTTTGTGTACCTCTAGGTAACCTTTTACTAGGTCTCTTGCTGTTTGTTTTGGTTTCCTCTACCATTCCCTGTGGGCCACATCCCTTTATTTGAAAATTACCAACATGAACAGTTAAGAGACAATCACTCATTACTCACAACTATTTTACAAGCATAGTATGTTAATTAACCTAAACAGTTTTTTTTTCCTTAAAGTAATCATTTGTTTTATCAATTTGTAAATGTCCTACTAGTTTCTAATCAAAATACGATTTTTCATAGCAGCGGTGATCAGTGATTTTAATCGTTATTTTACAGATTAGAAAATAGAGGCTATTTCCTATAGTAAATCTTTAGAAAGCAGTTTGAACATCAAAATTAGATTGTAGAGAGCTCCTGGGTTTAAGGCTCGTGGCCCTTATTGTTGGCAATCTATGGCCATTCATCTGTAATTGAACTATTATTTCTTAAAAATTGCCCACGACATAAAAGCTTTTTCTCAGAGATGTTATTACAGGCAGTCCCTGGGTTATGAGAAAGATCCATTCCTAAGTCTGTCTTGAAGCTGACTTTGTTGTTAAGTCAGAGCAAGTTCTTAGTTGGCGTCAGTTAGTCAAATGTTTGTCTTAGTATGTAGTATGTATTTTATCTTTCTAAGCATACAAAACATTTAAGAAACACTTCCAAACCACGCAGTGTTTTCATGAGAGTCACAAAGTAGTGTGTGCATTCGTTGTTATGAACCATTGTATGTATTTACCTCAAATTTTTGATGTAATAGGCTTTATGGCAGTTCATTCTGAAGTACAAGTTGCCCATAAGTTGGACGTTCATAACCTAGGGACTGCCTGTAGTTTATTTTGGCCATTTATATTCAGAAAAACTTATAAGTACTGATAAAGGACAAGTTCATCTCACAGAAATTTTTTTATATTAATTTCCTTTATGTTGTGTCTACATTTTTATGGTCAAGTATATATCTTTTAATCCTTCATTTAAAAAAAAAAATCGCTAAAGGAAATTGAAAGTATTTTTGTCTCTTAGGTACCTGAAGCAGCCTTTGAGGCAGTTATATTGACAGAGGCAATGCCAGAAAGAGAAGCATGAAATTCTCATAACTTATGCTTGGTAGAGCTCAGGATTGAAAGTGCTCATTCTGAAAAGGTCCCAATTTATCTGTTAGAAGTAAAAAGTTTTTGTAATTAACAAAGCACTAAAAATTTGCTTTCCAGAGATTTATAACCCAAATTTAGCTAACTTTTTTGGAGAAAGTAAGATGTTGAAGATGATCTGGTTGACACGTCCCCCACCATAATTTCATACATGTGCAGGCACGGACCAGTAAAATGAAAGTTGCCTCCAAAAATGGAGGGCGCTGAAGACGGAAGAAAGAGGTGGGCAACTCCAGGGTGGCAGCAAAGGAGTTTATTAGAGAGACTTATAGACAAGTCCTGCGCAGCTGCAGGACCAAAGCAAATCTTTGCTCCCTGCAGTGTACAAAATGGCGACAAGCCAGGGGCTTATGTAAGAATGACTCAGCAAACAGTAGTGAACTCTTAGAAGACCACATGAAAGCACTGTTACTCAGCATTCCAAAGCCAGTTTCCCCTTTAGTCTACCCCTTGAGGCTAGCTCTTACAATCTGGCATGTTCCACTTCTCATTCCACAGTAGGAGAGAGCCTATTCCCTCCCCACCGGGAACAGATATAGAAGTGGGGATGACCAGGTGCTGTATAGTGCCCATGCATGTGCAAAAGATAGGGAAAGTTACTGTGTGCCCAGAACAGGAAGAAGGCTTCTCTGATAAGGAAAAGAAACTAGGAGAGAGAAGGCAACCGTATTCCCAGGGTTCTTATCAGAGAGTGCTCTGGGCCCAAGGTCTTTACTTAGGTAGCCTGGGTGGGAGGTGTACTTACGGCAGACCATTCCTCCGACAATGGATGTTAACTATTATTGTGATTGGAGTCCCTGGGTGGTATAAATGGTTAATACTCTAGGCTGCTAACCCAAAGGTTGGGGGTTCAAGTCCACTCAGAGGTGCCTCAGAATAAAGGCCTAGTAATCTACTTTAGAAAAATCAGCAATTGAAAACCCTGTGGGGCATGGCTCTATGTGACACATGGGTCTCCATGGGCAGAGTTGACCCCCGCAGCAACTTGTTTTTCATAATTATAATTAGTATTCAAATGAACTTCCCAAATGAAGCTGTGATTCTTACTTTCCACAGAACCTTATCTGACAGTTTTTAAATTTTTCCCTATGTGCCATCCAGGTCAGGGAAGTTAAACACAAAACTCAGGTGCCTGACTAATACTTGATTGAGGACTGAAGCCAGTACCAGATAGGTAGGAGGGTATCAGTGAAGTGTTTTTTGGTGGGTGATTTGGGTATAACTTTCAACATCTAAAATGTTGAAGTTCTATTTATAGGAATTAATAGGTTCACATTAGTACATAAAGTTATATATCCAAGCATGTTAATTACGATGCTGTTTGTAAGTAGAAAAGTGGAAACAACCTAAATATCTATCATTCCAGGGCCTGCTATAACGTATTTTTACGCAAATAACGCACACGTTCTATGTTTGTTTGCCAACTATACCCCTTCCCCCCTGCCATGAGGTGTTTTTGTAAGTGCCCTTATGCCAATTTTTTTTACATATTGCTGTAAAAAAATCAGCATAGTGAGCTTACAAAAATACCTTGCCAGGGGAGGACATGGTTGGCAAACAAATGTAGAAGGTGTGCATTGTTTGCGTAAAAATATGGTAATATTGAGACATCTGTTTAAATGAATGAGGTAGATCTATAAGTACTAAAATGGAACAATAGCTAAAATATATTAAGTGTAAAAAGCAAACTGAAGAACATCATGCTTAGTGTGGCCCCACTTGTATTAAAAACAAAACAAAAGATTATTCAGATACAGATAAATGTTAGGTAAGGTTGTATACACCTACAAAATTTCTAGAAGCTATGCACACACCCAAAAACTTAACAGTGATTATCTTTGGGAATTGGCAATGGAGTTTAAGAGAATGAGAGGATTTTTATTTTTCATTTTTACTTTTGAATTTCTTTTACCATAAGCATATATTACTTTAATTTAAAAAACGCTATCAGGAAAAGAAAAAAGTTAAAATACATTCTTGCTAAATATTCTAAAATAAATATGTGATACTCCACATCCGGTGGATGCACAATTTTTAATCATTTCCCTATTGTTGGGCACATTAGATTGTTTTCCATTTTTCACTATGGTAAGGAATGCTTTGGGGAAGATTTCTGTGCACATTTCAAATTACTTTTTTAGAACAGATTCCCAGAAATTGAACTCTTGAGTCAAAGGGTATGAATATTTTTAAAGGTCTCACTGCATATTGCCAAGTTGCTTTCCAAAATGATTGTAGCAGTTTCTACTTCCCCCCAACAGTGTATAAAAGTACCCAAATAGAACACATTTCTTCAAGGTTGCTTATTTCATGATTGCTTCAGCTATTTAGGTACATCTGTGCCATGAGTCTGCTAAATGAAAAGGGTTGGACAGGTTTTTTTTTTCCATTTGGTCACTATTTTTTAGGTCAAACAAGTTTTAAAAATTTCTGAACAACAATAAAATGGTTCCAGAAAGAAAATATTCTTGACTGTCTTAAAATTTGTCTTCTTTCTCTCTCTGAATACAATTGCCTATAAGCGTACATAAAGGAAAGATTAGGAATTCTAGGTTTGTGAGTCTTGAGTTTTTTTCATCTTTCCAGATTTTTTGTGTGGAATAATGTACAGATTATGTTTTTCCGTGAACTATCTACATAATATGTTACAGATTCATCTTGAGTCCATTAATGGTTAATTATATATCCAACATTGTTTTCTGTAAGCTCATTAATGAGAGAGGAACATTTTTACATTTGTTATTTAGGGAGTAGCACCATGATCATGGGGCCCTGGTGGTGCAGTGGTTAAGTGTTTGGCTGCTAACCAAAAGGGCGACAGTGTGAATCCACCAGCCACTCCTTGGAAACCCTATGGGGCAGTTCTACTCTGTCCTGTAGGGATACTGTGAGTCAGAATCGACTTGCCGGCCACGGGTGTTACCATGATCACGTATCTTGATCTCAGAGCCTCCAGTTTAAGGATGATAGAGATTAGCGAACAAGTTCTAGTTGTGATTTTATTTTATTTTTCCCAGTTTTCAGATGCATCTTTTTTATATTTTAATGTTTCTGAAGTCAAAGTTTGTCTTGTAATTGATGTCAGAAGAAAGTTGGCAGCCACTGTGTTGAGTTGAGACTTGGTGTTTGTCATTGCCTAGACATGTGCAAATTTAGCCATACACAGCATTTATCTGTTCATCCACTTGTCACCTCAGTTGAGTTGGTTGTATTGGTAGCTTCACACACTGTTCAGTTTTAAACTAAATCTTAAGTTTAAGTATTTGCCAAAGGTTTTCTGACAGTGCAGTAAAAAGCAGTGTAAATTGACACATTTCTCAGACTAAGACAGAATTTTAAAGCAAAGAAGAGGTTGTGACTGAGTTTTGCGCTTAAAAAGCTGTCAGTCAGACTGCAAACTTTTCTGCCAAAAGCTTCCCATAGACATTCAAGAGAAGTTGATTAAATTTCAGAATGATGTTGTTCAAAGAAGGGAAAAAGCAGCAATTCAATGCGAAATACAGGTACCAGTTTCAGTTGCCAGTGAGTCAACATCAACTCATGGCGACCCCATGTGTGTCAGAGTAGAACTGTGCTCCATGGGATTTTCATTGGTTGATTTTTCAGAAGTAGAT